CCCCCCGGGGTGCGGTCAAGAAGGGGAAGCGGCCTGTCAGACCCACCAGCCCCAGGCCCGCCCGCCCCCAGCCCGGCACCGGCGCTACCTGAGACGGAAAACTCGTTGCCGTTGAGCAGCCGCACGACCTCCTCCAGGCCCAGCCAGCCCCGGCGCTCCAGCACCTGAGGGACGGGGCAGGGGTCAGGGTCAGGCCCAGGCCCAGCAGGGCCGGGCCGTGGCACTGGGCACAGCTCAGCGGGCAGAGCCCGGAGGGAGGCACCGACCAGCAGACGAACACTGCCAGCCCCAGCCCTGGGTGGAGGGACCCCCCCCAGGCCCCCCTGGAAGGAGGCCGGGCTTGGGGGGACGTGCACAGTGCTCCCCAGCAGCAGGCGGGCTCACCTGCTCAATGATCTTGCAGCTCAGGGGGACGTAGGCTCCGCTGAAAACGTAAGCCATGTCCCGAGGCATTTTCAGGTCATACTCTCCGTCCACCCGGGGGATCTGCAGAGATGTGCGATACTCGGGGTACAGGATCAGCCTGCTCGGGGCTTCACTGACCCCCTCAGAGGTGCAGGCGGGAGGGAGGGTCATCAGGAGGGACAGACGCCCAGAGTAAGCCTCTGCCCTACCTCCTGCCCCACCGCCCCGGGGCCAGGACCAGTGTGGCCCGGGCAGGCTGTGCATCAGAGTGCCAGGAATGGAAACGCCACCTCTTCACCACCCCAGGACCTCTCCACCACCCCAGGACCGAGCAGAGCTGTCCCCCCAGTGCCAGGCAGTGCTCCTGGAGCGGGGCCGCAGCATTCACAGCGGACAAAGTGAGCCCCGGCCCAGGCCCCCGCCCGGCCCTCCACCGCACTGGTGGGGCCCAGAGTCAGGGCAGACGAGGAAGCCCGCGGTGACCCCTGGACAGGGGTCCTGGAGCAGCAGCAGCAGCTCTGTCCCCGTGCAGTGCGTGTCTCTGGGGGTGCCGAGCCTGCAGAGCCAGGCACGGGCACAGACTGACCAGAGCTATTCTGGCAACAGTGGGTATGTGGGCCGAGCGGCAGGCTGGCAGCCCCACAAGGACATACCAACCCCAGCTTCTTGCTTATGGCTCGAAAATTGCTCTTCCTGGCCAAAGAATTAAATGCATCTGTGATCTTTCCTGGAAAAGAAGATGAGGAGAAACAGCTCAGAGCCTCTGGATTAAACGCAGCCCTGCCAGTTGCGGGCTGGGCAGAGATGCGCAGAGTTCCTGGCTCTAGAAGAGAACTGGCAGTGGTGCCTGCCAGCCCTGCTGCCCCTGCGGGCAGAGCCCGCTGCCCTGTCCGTAGCACCATCTCTGGGGACACGCTCTGTGCCTGCAGCGTCCGCGTTTGCCACGTGCTTCCAGCCAGCTCTGAGGCAGCAGGTCTCTGCCCCAGGGCTCCCCACAGCCCAGGCTCCCAGGGGACTCGTGGGGCAGAGAGGGCTGGCTCTCACCTGCAGCACGGTCCGTCACCAGCTTGCTGACTTTGCTCTCCACAGCAGTCAGGGTCTCTCCAGCCGACTGCTCGGTCAGCAGCCCGATGCGTTTGAGGTTGTGGAAGGTCAGCAAGTGCTCAGGCCCATAGCTCTGGGGAAGGGGGCAGCCGGATCAGCACAGAGCCCCAGCTGCAAGCATTTCAAGGCGGCAGGGTGCCACCTCCATGAGGAGGCTGCTTTTAGCAACCCCGCATGCAAAGGGCAGGGGTGGGCAGAGCTCAGGGCTTGTGTGGAGCCCGTGGAGACAAGGGCTGTCCTGCAGAGACAGCCCGAGCATCCCTGGGGAGCGCTGCTGCCCAGCGTCTCATGGCGAGCACCAGCAGGGAAGGGAAGCCCAGTCCAACGCAATGCTTGCTCTGCTGTGAGCCCCCGGACACACTCACCTGCAGGTACTGGGTTTTCAGGGAGCGGTAGTCTTTGGGGATGAGACCTGTGGGGAGCACCAGAGTGAGCTCTGCGCCAAGGCTGGAGGGCCCCGGTGCCACCCCTCCCTGCCCAGCGCAGCCAGACACCTCACCGTTCTCCGTGATGGACAGGAGGCACATCAGGCGCAGGCTCTCGATGGGGGACACCTGCGTGGGAGCAGGCGGTGAGCCGCCTGCAGCCCCCGTGTCCCCACAGTGGGACGGGGTGGCCGGAGCAGCCCGTCCCTCCGTCTCGGCTCGCTCTCACCTGCCGGTCAATGTGCTCCTCTATGAAGCTGGTGCTCTCACGGATGTCGAAGCCCTCCAGTAGAGCTA